TCTGTTGCAGGATTTCTTAGGCAACCTAAGTGGGGTCACCTAAAAGATGTGCATAAGACCGTAAAGCTTTGCGAAGAAGCAATGGTGGCCACTGACCCAAAAAATTCTTCTCTTGGTCCAAACGTGGAGGTATAATATTTTTTTCAGTGTTAGAGAGTATCCTTTGTCTCTAAATTTTACATATTTCCGGGCCTCAAAGTCCTCCAGTCTAAGTGCATACCTCCATATAGCCATATCTAGTCTGGGATTTATCGCTCATACCTTTTATTAGTACTGAAGCAATAGAACTTACAAGTTATTCATGTTGAATATCTGAGAAAAAATATCTGTAGTATCTGAACTTACTAGTTTTCATGTTAGAATACCTAAAAGGAAGTATCTGTGGTAGGTATTTGAAGTGAAACCATATTCCATTGGTCTTGGATTAACTTCCTTAATATTGATCCTGCAAAACTAGTTTCTATTAAAAAAAACTGTATGGCTTTAGGTACCAAACTAGTTCTTAGGATCTCCAATGTAATCATATATGACCTGTGGCTTCTAGTCTTCATCTGTATGCTTTGTGTATCTGAAATGAAGTAAGAAGTATGACTCCATTTGTCTAGGTGAATGCCCTTGCAACATGTGATTTTTAACATTTATTTTCTTGTTTATTTTCTCAGGCAACTGTTTACCAAACAGGATCAGCATGTGCTGCGTTTCTTTCCAATTCTGACACTAAATCTGATGCCACTGTGACGTTCAATGGAAATTCTTATCAGTTGCCTGCTTGGTCTGTGAGCATCTTACCAGACTGCAAAAATGTAGCCCTTAACACTGCAAAGGTTTGCCTTCCCTTCATCTTTTGGCTGTGCTTGCTTGTATCAGCAGAATATTTTGTTCTCTAAATGTATATCATGTGTACCTTTTCTTGGTATGTTCAAGAGATGAGTTATCTTCAAAACATTCTATATTTACCACTTAAAGTTATCTGTCCCTACTTTTTTTAGATCTGTGTATTCCAATTTCTAATGAGGGTTTATCAAAATTCTTTATGTAATCCTGTTGTTTAGTGTATGTCTTGTATTTCATATTTGCTATTTATTTCCAAGAATTATTGTATATTTTCTTTTGAAGCCTTCATATTCATAAGTATTATGCTCAAAATCATGTTATGTTTTCTTTTTTCAAAGGAATTGTTATATAATCTATCATGACAGATTAACTCTGCTGCCATGATTCCGAGCTTCATGCATCACTCAGTGATAGATAATATTGATTCCTCTGAAGCGTTGGGCTCAGGCTGGAGTTGGATAAATGAACCAGTTGGTATCTCAAAGAAGGATGCATTTGCCAGAGTTGGATTGTTGGAGCAAATAAATACCACAGCTGATAAAAGTGACTATTTATGGTACTCTTTAAGGTACGCGATCCACGACTGCTTTGTTAACAACTTTATACATATTTCTTGCCTTTCATCCAGTTGTCTTGATTTCTTTCAAGACTTATATCCATATTCTAAACAAATTCTGCAGCATTGATGTCACAAGTTCTGATGCATTCCTTCAAGATGGGTCTCAAACTGTTCTTCATGTGGAATCACTTGGCCATGCGCTTCATGCGTTTATTAATGGAAAGCCTGCAGGTGATGTATAAAGTTATAAACTAGCTGTGGTTACAATATGATTGCTTGCCCTTCTTCCTTGGTCTTAATCCAGTGGCTACATTAGTTACGTGGCAAATAGACGTTGACATTGTATTGAGAAACTACAAAGGAAACAATAATTATATTTTCCCTAAACCTTTGTAGTTTGAAGAGGCAGGCCTTCAAGGCTTCGATTGCTGCCCAATCTAAGTTTTAAATCCCCCAATCCATTCTGTTCTATAGACTTCAAGAACATTAAACATTGTTCTGCTTACTGTATTGCAAAAGAAGATTTGAGAATACACTCTCATTAGGCACCATGTTAAATGGGGTTTTGATCTCAAGTACTGTGGTTCTATGTTTCTTTTTTTTTTTCTGGGCAAAGCTCCTCCTGTAATACCAATGATTAGATACTAAGACAGAAGCCTGATGATAAGGTTCATGCTTTAAAGTTGTGAATTTCATATATGAATGAGAGTGATTGACAAGTAATTAGTGCATTGGTTGGACTATTGCAAATGTTCTGGGTCAACTTTACAACTGTTCCGATCTTGTATTTATGTTATAATTGGATTCTTTTCAGGGAGTGGAACAGGCAGCGCTAGCAATCCCACGGTTTCTGTGGAGATCCCTGTAACATTTGCATCTGGGAAGAACACAATCGATCTTCTGAGTTTGACTGTTGGCCTTCAGGTTTGACCTTATTTCTTATGCTTCTGTACGTGTGTTTATAAACAAGCTCGCATATATATTATATATTCTGGCATTGCAGTTTTCATAAATGAGTTCCATGCTTTAAGGTCAATTTGTGACTTAAGTACTTTTTGTATATCCATTTTCAGAACTATGGAGCTTTTTTTGACAAAACAGGTGCTGGGATCACTGGTCCTGTACAGCTGAAAGGCTTGAAAAATGGCACTACTATTGATCTCTCATCTCAGCAGTGGACATATCAGGTCAAATTTCCTCTTTTTGTTCAGTTGTTGTTATGTTGCAATTCCCTGCTATCGATTTCAATCAATTTACAAACTTGAGGGAAGTGGCTAATAAAATTTGGAAAACTGAAAATAGAAAAAGAAATGCCCAAGTTCTTCATTCTGAATAAGCAGTGGTGTACCTTAGAGGACGAAATCTAACAATTTTCCTTTCGTCATCTTCATCATTGCAACTGCAGATTGGACTTCAAGGGGAAGACTTGGATTTTCCCAGTGGAAGTTCTTCTCAGTGGGTTTCACAACCTACCTTGCCCAAGAAACAACCCTTGACATGGTACAAGGTAAATATTTAGCATAATTATTATGCATACGGGTAAATGTGGTGAAAAACAATGTGATTTTGGAGAAATTGCAGGGACACAAAGTATTTAACCTTTCTAATACTGCTACATGTGGTGCATATGTATTTTCTTATGTGTTCATGCTTGCATGTGGTGTATTCTGAGTGGTGGGTTTCCTCAAGTCTTGGCTGCCTATGATTTAGGATAACAGCTACTAGGAATGCTAGGTTCTTTTCTTTTAGATACTGACCCAAGAAACATTCCTTATCATTCAGGCAACATTTAATGCTCCCGATGGCAGTAACCCTGTTGCGCTAGACTTTACAGGGATGGGAAAGGGTGAAGCATGGGTGAACGGACAAAGTATTGGGCGGTACTGGCCGACCAACATTTCTCCAACTAGTGGTTGCCCTGATTCTTGTGATTTCAGGGGACCTTATAACTCCGACAAATGCAGGAAGAACTGTGGCAAGCCATCACAGGAATTGTAAGTAGAAGAGAATCTGAGGGAAGAACTTGAATTGAAACTTTGATTCTGAATATTTAATCTCACTAAATGTACAGGTATCACGTGCCTCGTTCATGGTTGAAACCAAGTGACAATACTCTTGTCCTGTTTGAGGAAATTGGGGGTGATCCAACGCAGATATCCTTTGCTACCAGACAGATTGAAAGTTTGTGCTCACATGTATCGGAGTCTCACCTGTCACCTGTAGATACATGGAGTTCAGATTCAAAGGTGGGAAGGAAGTTAGGGCCTGTGCTATCACTTGAGTGCCCATTTCCCAACCAGGTCATTTCTTCAATCAAATTTGCAAGTTACGGAAAACCTCAAGGGACTTGTGGGAGCTTTAGCCATGGCCAATGCAAGAGCAGTAGCGCTCTATCCGTTGTACAGAAGGTATGATCTTGCTTGGTACGTTGATAAAATTCTTTCCACCTCCAACTTTAGTTTGACCTCTCTTTGTTTACGATTACAGGCTTGTGTTGGATCCAAGAGCTGTAGCATCAAAGTCTCGGTTAAAACATTCGGTGACCCATGTAGAGGAGTAGCAAAGAGTCTAGCAGTAGAAGCATCTTGTAGATAGACATCGCTCCTGGCTTTAGGTAAAATGTTATCCCCAAGTTTCTCTATAATTGAATAATGTCATTCTCAAGGATGCTATTGAATTATTAATAAAATTCTCAAATATTTTAGACGACTTCTCCCCTCCCTCTCTCTCTCCCTCTCCCTCTCTCTGGGTTTGACTAAGGCCCTAACTTCTGATAAACGGGGGTGGTGTCAGCGTTCCATTAGGGTGGTTCCTCAGGGCTGAAATCAACAGGGAAGTTGCCATCCCTACAACCAACCAAGGTTACTTGCAAGACAAGATTCCAACAGTTATTTTTCTCTCTGCCTAGATCTATAGAAAAGAGTTCACAAAGTTTAGTCAAAAGCTTCTAAGTTTAGATAATAAGCAAACAAAATTTAAGTTTACAAGTAGCATACCAAATATGTTCTAGGCAAACTTCATATGCAGCCCTTAGTCGTTTATTCATTAGTTTCAAGTCTAAAATGCTAACAAATTACCCAAAATACACAAATAAATTGTTTATTTAGTATTGATCAGAACTAGTACTGAGCAATTCCTCCAGCAGCTGCAACCTTGGGCTGTTTTTGGAACCTGCAAACCTTGCAGAGAGGCGAAAAGAGGGAAGAAGTCTCGTACTTGTCCTCCCCGCCTACCATCGGCATCGGGACTCCGACCTTTACCGGGCTACCGTAACCTGGCCGATAAGTCTTGCCCAAAACTCCCTCCACAAGATCGGATAAATTGGTAAATCTGAACTGTGTCTCCAAGTGAGCAAATCATGGTTCACCAAACCAAAAACGTTGTCCCGATTCCCAAACCGAAATTTTCGGAATCCCAATTTCAAGACCGATCCCAAACCAAAGTTTCAGAATCCTGAAATAATTTCGGGATTTCGGGACAAATTGGAAATCCCGAAATAATTTTTAGCTTTTGGATTTTTGTGGGCTTTTCAGTTTTTGGTCTATAATAACTTGCCTGCTGCTGCAGTGTGCAGCCAATCTGCATATCTATAGATCCCAAGCATGAATGAAGTGATCAAGTTATTCTGTAGAAATAAAATCAAACCAAAATCCTTGCATATATTCCCTACTCACAATAGCCAATATGATCTGCCTATTCTACTACACATGCATGCAACAAAAATAAATTAAGTAACAAATTCAAAAGCAAAAAAATTAATTACAAGCCACGGTTTCAAAATAAATGAAGTAACAAACCCAAAAGCAAAAAAATTAATTACAAACCAAAGTTTCAAAATAAATTACGTTACAAACCAAAAGCAAAATGAAAAGCTTAAAGTTTATGAAGATTGTTGGCCTCTTCGACCCCTTCGGCCCCTTGATGTTGTTGATGGTTGTGGTTGCTCCTTCTTGTTTGTGAAAGACCTCCTAGTGTCAATATGCAAACGTTATATACACAAGGTAGCCAACAACATCAAAGGAAAAGGACGTGTATTCCTGTTACAAGGATTCCATTAATAAAGTAGGACTAGGACAGTACAAAATGTAATCGAAAATTTTCTTTTCTCCTTAAGCGTAGGACTAGCTTCATATATATATATATTCATAAAGAGGAAACACAATTAAAGAGTCATCTATTCATAAAGAGAATTCATATTATTCATATCTAACTAATGTTTTTAAGAAACAAATACTTTTTAAGAAAATTAAGAAATACTATTATCAAAGCAACTGTTGCAACCGTACTATTTATATAGGTAGAGACATTCAATGAGGCAATTAAAAGAAGTGAAGTGTTGAATTCAATGAGGCAGATACGTTTTCTACCAGACTCCCAATTCTGCCTGGTCAAAAATAACAACAAAACAACTGAGGAAAGATATATGATCTAGCATTGCAATTGAAGATTCCTTAACCTAATGACATGCAATTATGTGGGTATTTGATAGTTCATCAGTTCAACATCTTCATATATAAAAGAACAACTAAACAAACTGTAAATACATTTATGGTGCTGCATTACAAACATCCCAAAATCCCATGGTTAATTCTAAACTCCATTCATCAATTTACACCAACTCTCGAAATTCATTTCAGCTACTGCAATTATTGCTACAACTATGAACTATCAACCCATAACAAATTTATGCTTCAATTGTGAGTCTGTGACAGAAGAGAAACCCTAATCTCGAATTCCAACCACCAATTCAACCCCTAAACCCTCAGTAGTGCAATATACTCTATCTTCCAAGTGCTAAATTTCACAAACCCTAATCTCGAATTCCAACCCTAAATTAGCTTGTGAACTTTACCTGATTTGGGGGAGAATTGCACAGTGCACTGGATCACTAGAATCGAGAGAGACTGAGAAGGAGAGCGGCGCCAGTGGTCGTGATTTGTGAAGGAAGGCTCCTCCACTGTGACTCTGTGAGGGATAAGAAGTTGAGAGAGACTGAGAGAGAGATCTGAGAGGTGATAGTTAAGAGAGATGTGACTCAGGTGAGTCACTTGTGTGGTCGGATTCGAAAACGGAGGGACAAATCGGCGACGAGGGTGGTGAGATGAGGGTTTAAGTCTGAGACAAGCCACGAGAGAGAGTGAGTGAGAACTAAGTATCGAGAGAGACAGGAGAGATGGAGTGTAAGTGTAGGGTTTGATTTCTATTGAACGATTGAGATTAAATCTCAATCGAATCTGACAGCTGTTACAATTTCAAATGTATATTTAAAAATTAAATTATATATATATTTTTTATTTCAGTTCGGTTTGGGAATACCAAAAAACCAAAAACTTGAAACTGATTCATGTACCAAAAATTTCGGTTTGGTTCGGTATTGAGTGCCGAACGTTTCGGGATTTTTAGTTTGGTTTCGGGAATTTTCGGTTTGGTTTGGGATATTCGGTATTTTTTTCCACCCCTAAGCAAATGTGTCATCAGCTGGTATTCGGTAGTTATGAACCTTGTTTTCCTTTTCTCCAATAGGCCTAACCCTAATGTCCATTTCGGTTCGGTTATGAAAATTTCGGTTGGTTCGGTATTGAGTACCAAACATTTCGGGATTTTCAGTTTGGTATTTTTTCAGTTTGGTTTCGCGAATTTTTCAGTTTGGTTTGGGATATTCGGTATTTTTTTCCACCCCTAAGCAAATGTGTCAGCAGCTGGTATTTGGTAGTTATGAACCTTGTTTTCCTTTTCTCCAATAGGCCTAACCCTAATGTCCATTTCCATGAGACCAGCATCTGTAACCCTAGTCATCGGTTCTTTCGATGATTTACCTCTCTATCTTCGCCGTTAGTACTCCATTCGGCATCTCCGTTATTAGGGATGGCAACAACTTTGTCATCCCACTTTACCATAAGAGCATCAACTTTGTCATCCCACTTTGAGACTCTCTTTGCTGCGAAGGCAAGGGTGTGAGAGTCGAACGCCACTGCGAAAGCCTGAACCCATGTGAAATCGCGGGTCCTTCCTGTTGGTCGAGTCCCGATGAAGTGTGCGTTGATTTGGAGGTTGGTGTCTGAAACAATGGCAAAGTTTCCACCCTTGGCGCCATGGAAGTAGAACATCACAACGTCACCGCCAACAAACCTAGGATCGTAGCACAGAGAGCCATATCCATCACACTTGGCCTTCCTACTGCACCAAACTTGGCTTTCCTAACTACACCAAAAGAAAAGAAGATGTAGTTGTTAGTAAAATTCCTTTTGTTAGTTATATATCTAGTTAATTGAAAGAAAAAAAGAAGAGTTATATGACTTACACTTGCAAGTAGCTTCACACTTGCTACCGCAGTTAATGAAACAACCCTTGTTCTTCTTGTTCTTCTTCGGCTTTCTCTGAGGGCATTCGGATGGGCACGTAAGGGTCTTGTAATAGCAAGCCCCCTTTGCTTTGCAGAACCCTCGCTCCTGCCCGGATCCCATTGGTGTCAGCATGTCGTAGTTGGAAACATCAGCCTCATCCGCTTTTTTTGCCTTTGCCGTTGCCATTCCCATTCCCATTGCCGTTTCCATTGCCATTCGCATTCCCGTTCCCTTTCCTGTTTCCATTGCCTTGCCCCATAACCAAGGCGGCTTCCATCGAAACAAGGACGACGAAAACAGCCACCAAAATATTTGACATTGTAATCGTAGGCGCCATTTCTGGCTACCAAATATGTATGCTTCTCTTCTCCTTCTGTTGATTGTATTTTGTGTTGTGTGCTGAAGAATTGATGGGAAAGAAAGGGTACAAGAAGATATTATATAAGGGAGTGGTGAGGAAACAAATAAATCAGCCACATGCACCCATAATCATTCAACCAACTTTGCACATGCATTCATCATCATAACCTAGCTGTCATTCCACTTTAATCACATGCATAAATCAGCCACATGCATCTCCCATCACCATTCCAGATTTCCACCAAGTTCCTAGCTGTCATATTCCTTCCTTTTCACCTATAAATAAGCATCCATTGCAGCCACAATGGATTCATTCTCATTCATTCTTCCATTTTCAGAAATTCACCAAAGAGAGCCCTTTGTGCCGTGAGTCTCCCTACCAATCCAAACACCACCAGAAATCATCCCATTGCCGTGGCCTCCCCCTTCCAATTTCACCACTCCCCAAACCATTCACACCATCAAACTATCCTTAGACCTTGTGCTACAACAAAGTGGAAGAGAAGCGGGCCTAAACGTTCATACAATTCAAGTTTGAGTTGTTGGAATGTTTAGGTGTTTCTTTTCCTTTGATTTTAATGTTTAATTTCAATTCTCTTTGTTTTGTACGTATGAGGAACTAAACCCCCTTGGCTAGGGGGGGATTCGAAATATATGTTTATGCTTGCATTTTGATTTGATTACTTCTAATTGCGTTTCATAAGTTGTGGATTCAATTTGTTTAACTGTTTGATTGATAACTTATTTATGTATGTTTATTGAGAGTGCACGCTTAATTTTCATGCATGAATATGACGCTAGAATATAAGTGAGTTTCACCTAATAGTTACGAACTTATATTCACAAGTAGTGGAGGTTGCTTATAAACAATCGCGTTAAACGAATTCTTGGCATAAGTTTCATGCAATCATAGTAACGAATGCCTCGTCAACACTTATAATTTTCTTAGAGCGTAATGATTCTTGCTTGTATCTCTATTATGCAATCATGTAGGGGACTTGTGGGGAATGTTTTGGGTTGTCGTATGCAATCATCCAATTCAATAACGTTAGGAAGATTTGAAGGTTAATTAGTGCATCACGGTTAACTTGGGGTGTTGAGAATTCATGGTTTATTGAAATGCAATTGGAAATCTTTTTATTATGCAAGTGTAACATGTGTGGAGATGAACCCCTTGGCTAGCATCCATTCATTCCAATTCATCCATTTCATATTTACATTATGTTTTAATTGCAATTTGTTCATTTAGTTTAATTTCGTCAAACCCTAAATCCCCCTTTACTTTAGTGTCCCATATAGTTAGAAAGTATCTTAGTTTGTGTTTATAAGTGTTTTGATTCAAGTTTTCATCCAATTTCGTCCAAATTAGTGTAGGTGCTCAAAACTGCCCAGAAAGTGGTTTTTAGGCAGTTTTGAGTCTTCTAGTTGCTGTTTTAGGTTTTAGGTTTGTTTAAGTGTTTTAACTTTTAGTTTTGCATTCTTTGAGTCAAGTTTAGTGTTTTAAACTTTGTTTTTGAGCTTTTAAGTCAGTTTCCAAGTGTTTAGCAATCCCTCCTAATCCCCGGTTAAGAACGATCCCTACTTACATACTTACTACAATTGATAAAAACCTAGCTAGCCCTGGAATTCGGCTCCATTCTTGTACTCATTGCTTCTTCATGCAATCAAACAGCCTAGAACCAGCAACTTTGGCTAATATTTTTATGGCTGTTAGATGTCACTTAAGCTTCTCAAGCATTAGGATTGCTTCAAAAAAAAATTATTTGTGTATTTTGCATAGCACATTAGCATTTATTTAGGCTTCCTCAAAGCAATTTGCATGTCAAAGTTGTAAGAAAAGTCTCATTTATTTATTTATTTTTGTCATTCTAATAAAAGTTTTCTATCCCACACACCATTACATTCTTCACCTTAGCAAGTGTTGCTACTTATATCAATCTTTCTAATCAAATTGCTAACTACATTTTATATATGCTACTTATATCAAGCTTTCTCATCAAATTGCTGACTACATTTTAGTTGTCACATCCCGGCATGGGTCCCCAACACATTCTAGGCTTGACTCCACCGTAGCACGATATTGTCCGCTTAGGGCCCTAGCCACGCCCTCACAATTTTGTTTCTGGGAACTCACATGAGAACTTCCCAGTGGGTCATCCATCCTAGGATTGCTCTCACGCGAACTCACTTAACTTTGGAGTTCCTACAGAACCCGAAACCAGTGAGCTCCCAAAAGGATACATATAAGGATTACAAGATCCACACCCCTGGATGATGTGGGTTCTTACAATCCACCCCCCCTTAGGGGCCCGACGTCCACGTTGGCACACTTTCGGCTAGGGATTGGCTCTAATACCAAATTGTCACATCTCCGGCTTGACTCTACCGTAGCACGATATTGTCCGCTTTGGGCCCTGGCCACACCCTCACAGTTTTGTTTTTGGAAACTCACACTGAGAACTTCCTAGTAGGTCACCCATCCTAAGATTGCTCTCGCGCGAACTTGCTTAACTTTGGAGTTCCTACGGAACCCGAAGCCAGTGAGCGTCCAAAAGGCATCGTGCTAGGTAGAGATGGGAATATACATATAAGACTTACATGATCCACACCTTTGAACGATATGGGATCTTAATTATATATATATATATATATATATATATGGTATTTGGATATGCTTGCATGCATAAACGAGTTCATAAAAAAAATGCGATAAGTTTACGTGGATAAGCGAAATAAACTTAAAATGTAAACATAATTAAAAATTTACTGTTGAAACTTTCAAATCCTCAATTTTGTTGAATTTTTTGGTGTATTTTGCTTAGTAGTTCACATTGGCATTTCTTTCGGCATGACTCAAAACATATTGCAATTTGCATGTGAAAGTTGTCATATGAAGTGGTGATGGGTCTCTTTTTATGAGAAATCGATGGATTAATGTAATTAATAAATATGATATGAATAGATTTATAAAAATCATATTAAAGATTGAGAAACTTTTTGAGACGTTTAGACTGCCATCAAAACACAAATAATATTAGAGCACTTCAGCTCCAATACTGTAAGAACACTTCATCGCCACCACCGGCCACCCCACGACGGAGGAGCTTAATTCTTGCCTCCCATTCCATGAATTAATGAAGTATGTTATATATACTCAAACAACTATTCTACATGGAGGCTCATAAAAGATGCTCTTTTTTAAGCCCTAGAAGTGCTTGTTTTGGAAGGTATATATAATAATTTAGTGGACTTTAACGTAAAGTGATAGTTACTTGTGTTGTGTAGGTACTATATTCTAGGCCTGATAATTTATTGCACGATCCATTAACTTGGCACAAAACAACATAAAAATATTATGTTTTAGGTCAATTAACTCAGTAACAGATAGAATCATTATCAAGTCACCTGTTAAGATATTGAGTCTGACATGAGTCACAACACAATCTGTTAGTTAATGGGTATGACACAAAAAGGACACAAACATGACAAATACCATCCATTTGCTAAGTCTATTCATTATGCCTGACAA